TTTGTTTTGTTTATCATTGGCTGAATAACGTTGCTTCAGTAAATTGAATCGTGGGTTTTTCATAGAATATTAGATTCAGGAAATGAAGAAGCTATTCCACAATGGGGAAATAATTGACATCATTAACAACTAAACTATTTCTCATACGTCGGGCATAGTTTTTCCGTGTTGACGTGGAGATTAATAATCTGTACAACGTACTGAAACCCAAATGTGAGAAACTATTTTCACACTACGAGCACCCTTTTGCATAAATTTTTATATGGTATCAATATTGATCATTTTGTGGACACTTGGACTGCTCTCGCCCGAACAGAATCTCAGAGCAATGGACATTATCGGTGATATATAGTCCTTGATCAGTTAATCTTGTTTTGTTGACAAGGGAGTAAGGCCAAACCCATCTCCACATATGAATATAAACATGCAAGAGATTTGAAAATTTGGAAATATGAACGCCTCTTTTGTTGTTTGTCGTTGGCAGGGGATTGACGTTGTAGTTGTAAATTGAATCGTGGGTTTTTCCTAGACATTTAATTGGTAGAAACAGAGCACGCATTTTGTTCTCTGTTGGTCAAGCAGACATTTATGAGCCTGTTTGGGTCAGTGACTAGTGACTTAGAAGTAGCTTTTTCTTATCAGAAGCCCGATTGGAAAATTAGAAAATGTTTGAGAGTTTTTGGGCCATCCTACTCAGGGGTCAAAAGCTAGAGGGGTGTTTTGGCAAAACCAAAACCTAGGTTTCAGAATCACTTTTCCGTAAAACGAGATATTCTCCTCCACATGTTTACTTCGTAATCCGTAAAAGCACTTCTGAAACCATGGTTTGGTTTCTATCCAAACACCCCCTAAGGCACCGTTTGAGTGACACCCCAAACCATGGTTTGGGGACCCAAACCATGGTTTGGATGATAAGTCACCCAAACACTCACCCAATTTGCACAAACTGTGGTTTTGAAAAAAACAAAATTTTTTTGCTTTTGGAGAAAAAAGGGAAAGTGTGAGAGCCTATAGGATATGTATCTTGTTATTTTTTTTATAAACATATTTTTTTATAAACATATTTAATCTTATATTTTATAAATATATATACATATTAATTATTTATTAATTATATTATCTTATGTATTATTAATTATGTTAATAAAAAATATATTATTAACAATTTTATTCCTTCAAATTAAAATATATCATAAAATCTATTTTTTCTGTAATTATCATATTAATTTATGTCTTTTTTTTAGTAATTTGTATATATATAAAAAGTGCTTCTGATAACAACTATCCAAACACTCTCACTTCTCAAAATCACTTTTTCATAACATTTATTCTTTCCAGAATCTATTCTTTTCAGAATCTATTCTCCAGAATCATTTTTCCAAACTACGGTTTGGTTTTATCCAAACACACTCTAAGGCGCACAATATGTCAAGCTCACGTGAGATATTTTTCCACTTCTAAGACTTTTATACTAATATGTATGAAGATTTTATATTTACGATCAAATGCTGTTATATTTACTATTGGAGAAGTATCTTTTTGAAGTGAAAAATGTGCTTATGGTTGGCGGACAGTTGGAATAATAATTAGATGTCAGATTATTTTTCTTGCACCCCTCCCTCATTGTTCTCTCATTGTTCACTCAAACCACTCGTTCCTCGTACGCTCAAAATTCTCGCCGCTGGACACAGCTTGCTCCGTCACCTCCTCCCTATTAGCTCCATCTCCTCTTTGTCGTGAGTTCCGTACCCTCTCCGTCGTCAGGTTCGTCTCGTGCTGGGCCTGGTGTTGGGTCATCTCTTCTCTTGCTCCTTCATCGCTTCTCCAAACCTCTTCCGTTGTCCGGTCTACATTCACCATCTCCAAGCCATGGTCGCCGCCATCTGACCAGTGCATGTGAGTTGTGTGTGAAGATCTTGATCTCCTAGTGGAATACACTCTCCAATCTACCTTTGTCAGCCTTCATTCTCGTCGATCTGGTATAGGTTGGCAGAATTTTTTTTTCTCTTGCTTTTTCCGCTGGAGTCGCTAAAGTGCCGATGTGGAGTTATTTGTGTGTTCATCTATGTCTTTGCTGATTTGCTCAACGTTTTTGGTCCCTTGTTCCTGGCTAATCTTCACTGTCGTTGGTGGTTACCCAAGTGGTTCATAAGCTTGTGTGTTTATGTCCCCTGTTTTTGTGTCGATCAACGAAAACAAACTTTTTGAAGCAAGGCTCTTTTTGACGGTATATACCAAAAAATGCTGGGTTGGTGTTCTAGGATTCAGACAATTTATCGTCCTCAATTTCACAGCACTTGATTCCCTCAGCATTTTAAATACTCTCTGATTTATTACTTACTACTCTTCTCATTTTAAATTCTAAATATAAGTAAATTATAAAATAAGTTTTATATTTAATACAGTTTTATAGCTTTAATAATTGGGAGCTTATGGGTTTAAACATGTCTTTTAACTTGTTCATTACCTTCAATAAACTCATTTTTTGTAAGCCAAATTTTGTTCTTTAATTTCATTGATTTCGGTTTCATCAAATTAATTATTAAGGAACTTGTGGGGTGGTAATTGTTAGTAATGTTTCCAATCAACAAAACGTGCTTAAATACATCAAACCAAAAAGAAAACCATCGGGGTTTCAAAATAATAATAAAGTCTTCAATTATTATCATTCTAGTTTAGAGGAAGCAATAGAAAGAATATTTGGGGTTTGGAAAAATAAATTTCAAATCGTATGAAATATGTGTAGTTACAACTTCTAAACACAAGTGTATATGTTTAGTACAACAATAACCATTCATAATCTTATAAGAAGACATTCAAGTTTTGACAATTATTTTTTAGAAGCTGAAAATGATATTATAGTTAGGGAAGATGATCACACTAAAATTATTAAGCGTCATCTTCAAATGTAACATAACAATCTTCATCACATATAAATCGCTTTTATGACACAATCAAAGACCAAATTGCCCCCAGCTTATCACTTAATCAATTATGTAATATTATTTCATTTATCTTTTGTCACAATACCATGAATTTTAATTTAAAATTATTTTATCCATTGAAATTATGTTTCACGTTATATTTGCAATAATTTTTATGATATCTCTAATGTTTTAAAATAGACTAAAGTATATATTTGGTCCTTTAATTTTATATAAGGTCTTAATTTGGTCTCTTAACTTTAAAAAGTATACTTTTAGTCCTTTAATCCTAAAATTTTAAAGAAAAATGATGACGTTAAGTTCTTAAATGTTGATAAAATATTCTCAAATGCTAACATATTAAGTTTAATTTTCAAAACATTCATGATTGTTACAAAAAATACCATTAAAGCCTAATAATTTTGGGATTAAAAGACCAAATATATACTTTTCAAAATTGAAGGATCAAATTGAAACCTTGTATAAAGTTAAAGAACTAAATATATACTTTAGTTTTTAAAATATATTTCAGTTATGAAATTTCATTTCTTTATATTAAAATAATTTAATTGAAATTATGTTTACTTTATATTTGTAATAATTTTTATGATATCTCTAATGTTTTAAAATATATTTCAGTCATGAAATTTTGCTTCTTCATATTAAAATAATTTAAATTCATTCTATTATGTAAATTTATTTTTTTAATTATTTATCATTATTTAATAAAACTCATACTCATTTGGATAATTTTACAAACTAAACTTACTAATTTAAATTCATTGTATTATGTAAATTTATTTCTTTATTATTTTTATTATCTAATAAAACTTATACTCATTTTGGTAATTATATAAACTAAACTTATTTTTATTCAATCATAATTTAAACAACTTTTTACCTAATCTAATTTTTACAAACTAACTTTTATAAAATCCAATCAAAATACAATTTATATCACTTGATTTAACTTTTACTCGTTTAAATTTTTCAAAAGTCAAATTAACAATAAACTAATTTTTCAATCGCTAATCCAAACAGATTCTGTATATGTCACAAATGCTGAAATTATTTAATGAATTTATATTTATGTAGAAGACTTTTTTCATGATGATATTCAAATTAATCATCAATCCAACATGTTGAAATTCAAAAGTGAAAAATTATTTTGGGAGAATTACAATAAAGTCCTAAAAAATAATTATAAAACAAGTCTCAAAAGTTGTCATTGTTTGTTTTAAAACTTGTCATTACAGGTTGTTTAGGTTGTTATTAGAACTTATTAGTAATTATCTTTTTTCCTTAGGACTTGATTGTAATTCTCCTAATTATTTTTACACCAAGAACACCCTAAAAAAGTGTGTGAAATCAATTATTTCTACCATTTGACTTTATATAACCTCTATGATATGGTGAGTTTGTAATTGAAATACACAGCTTAAATAAGTTTTCATCTTCTCCCTTAAGGAAACATTGATCATTTTGAGTTTTTAAACTTACTTTGAAAGTTTCTTAAGCCTCCTTAAAAATTAGACTACTGATAGACCTTGATGACGTCCCGTAATTCATATAACCGATCCCACCTAGTAAAGTAAAACTTTGTTGCTGCTATTGGAATTCTCTGACCAGTTTGAAATAGTTTCCTAAAGTTCTGTTCCATATACCTTGGTCACTTTCAATCATAACTCTTAATTCTATTACATCACAATTTGTTTCTTGAGCGCAGTAACCTTTTGTCCGCTGATTTGTGTAATGAGCATCATGCTTCTATTTAAGTCCTCATATGATTCACTTTCATAGCCATTGTAATTTTTTTCAAAAAACGAAGAAAAACCTAGCCGTAAATTATGATTTTGGACAGCACATCATCTCGATGGAAACGCCGAAAACAAACACTACTTCAATTCTAAGCTATTGGGTTATTTGTCTTTCCATCAGTCTTTCTTTCGTCCTTGCAAGAAGAGTCTGAGCAGATTATTCCGTTATAGCAGCCAAAAATAAGACTTATAATTTCATTTAAGATTTTCGTTCTCACAATAACTTCAATTTTCTCATGAAAAATAAAAAACTAACTAGTTTAAACTTCATTTCCAGTGAATTCATCAAATATCTGGAGGTCTAATTCACGCACTAAAAATACCAATGAATAACTTCTACAGAGAAGTATTTGTCTACTCCCATCCCGCAATACAAAATCTATAAAATAATACTCTGTTGATAGAATTCCTCGAATATACAACTTTCACCTCCAAGACCCAAAATAATAGTTGATGGAACAGAATTGGAGCGAATGCAGATCTTTTATATTATTGTCAAAGTAAAATTCAGCAACGGTATGAAATAGAACTTATTTTCGGAACCAAACGATACATTTTGCCTGGCTTGACCATTAAGGGGGCAAAGACCAAAGAAACTACTCTGTTAGTAAGAAAAGAAGAAACCGGCATGAGCTTCCTAGTTGTTAGGACTTATTGTGCAGCCACTGCCCTTTTCATTTTTCATTCTCATTTCTTTTTCGTATTGAAAAAGTAACAAGAACGAGGGGTGTTAAGCTCTATATCATCCTACACCACCTTAAACTCCAGGAATTGGATACTGAGTGGTGAGAGCTTCGACTTTTTTACGAAGGCTTGAAATCTGATCTTTCAAAGGAAATTCAGGGGATGACACAAACCGCATAAAGTCTTGGAGCTTTGTTCCCGGGGCCAGACGTTTGGCTTCAAGTGCTATTTGTGCACCCTCATGAATGAAGTCTGCAATTAAAACAAACTCTTCCTCTCCTAGTCCTCTTGTTGTCATTGCTGGTGATCCAATGCGAATGCCTCCAGGAACCAGGGCACTTTTATCACCTGTCATGATTCTCATGCGTAAGTGAGAACATGGAAAAAGTATTTGAAGAACCAGGAAAAAAAAGGGGGGGGGGAGAAGAAGAAGAGAGGAAGGGGAAGGAAGAAGATAAAAAATGATAAATAAACAAGGCAAGTAATATGGAACACCAGCAACATGAGCCTCACCAGGCACTGAATTCTTGTTGAGAGTTATAGAAGCCATGTCAAGAATTTTCTCCACTCGAGCACCATCAATGCCCTAGGAGATGTGAGTTTGGTTATTGTAAGATTTACATGAAATAAAGAAAGAAGCACGCAACCCAAGTATATATAGACACAATATATAAAGTCAAGTTCATAGAGAACCATACAGTTGATAACCACAATCATTATGACTTTTCATTAAAAGCAAGGAATTTTGTACAGCGACAGAGAATGAGGGATGAATGGTATAATTCTTCCGTGCTTTCATTGAGTAATTCAGTAAACATATATACAGGAGAATGACTAAATCGAATCCGAGATACACAGGATTACAAAGAAGAGATAAAATCGAATAAAATCAGATAGCAAACATATATCCTAATATCTACAATTAATTCTCATGATTCCTATAAATCAGCAACCGTTATCTACACTCCCCCTCAAGTTGGAGCATAGATGTTGATCATATCCAACTTGCCAATGAAGTATTCAAACTTTTCTCGAGCCAAGCCTTTTGTAAGAACATCTGCGGTTTGTTCCCTAGAGGGTAGGTATCTGATATCAATTACCCCATCATCAATCTTTTCTCTTATGAAGTGCTTATCTATCTCAATGTGCTTCGTTCAATCATGTTGAACGGGATTGTGAGAGATATTGATGGCTGCCATATTGTCTGAGTAGAGTTTAATGGGTAGATTTACAATCATCTTCAACTCCTCAAGTACCCATTTTACCCATACACCTTCACAGATCCCAAGTGCTATAGCTCTAAATTTTGCTTCAGCACTGCTTCTTGCCACCACACTTTGTTTTTTACTGCGCCATGTAACCAGGTTGCCCCACACAAACGTGAAGTAGCCAGAGGTGGATTTTCTGTCATCTTGATCACCTGCCCAATCAGCATCTGTAAACATTTCTATTTTCCTTTTGTCAGTCCTTTTGAACAAGAGACCACGACCTGGTGATCCCTTCAAGTACCTGAGGATCCTGTAAACCTCGTTCAGATGCTTTTGTTTAGGATTATGAGAGTGTTGACTTACCACACTTACTGCAAAGGCAATGTCAGGTCGAGTGTGGGATAAGTAGATCAATTTTCCAACCATACGTTGATATCTACCCAGGTCTACAGTATTTCCCAGGTCCTCGTCATCACTGATTTTGTCAACCCGTATAGGAGTATCACTGGGTCTACAGCCCATCATACCTGTTTCTTCTAGGAGGTCTAGAATATACTTTCTCTGTGATATGCTAATTCCCTTCTTTGATCTGGCAACTTCCATCCCAAGAAAGTATTTCATTTCTCCTAGGTCTTTAACTTGAAATTCTAAGTTCAGTGCTCTTTTAATTCGATTAATCTCTACCGGATCATCTCCTGTAATGACAATGTCATCCACATACACTGCTAGGACAGTGGTCTTCTTATTCTAATGTCTAAAGAACATAGTGTGATCACTTTGTCCCTGTTTATAGCCGTGAGTCTTTAATACCTGGGAAAATCTTTCAAACCAAGCTCGGGGAGACTGCTTCAACCCGTATAATGATTTCTTCAACTTACACACCTGACCTGCTCGTTTCCCAGGGAATCCTGGAGGCAAACTCATATACACATCTTCTTTCAAGTCCCCATTTAGAAAGGCATTTTTTACATCCATCTGATGTAATGGCCAATCTAGATTAGCAGCTAGGGATAAGAGAATTCTAATAGTGCTCAATTTTACTACAGGTGCGAATGTCTTAGTGTAATCCATACCATAGACTTGAGAAAAACCTTTTGCTACTAGTCTTGCCTTGTACTTGTCGAGGCTTCCGTCTGCTGTATATTTTGGGGTAAATACCCATTTGCACCCTACCGGCTTCTTTCCTTTAGGCAAATCAACAACTTCCCACGTGCCATTGCTTTCTAGTGCCTTCATCTCTTCCATAACGGCATGTCTCCATTCAGGACTGGCTAGAGCTTCATTGATGTTATTCGGGACTCTGATCTTGTCCAGGTGAGATACAAAAGCACAATATTTTGATGAAAGAGCCTGATAAGAGACAAACCGTTCTATAGGGTGTCTGGTACAAGTTCTAGGTTGCTTTCGTACGGCAATAGGCAAATCAAGATCATCATGTACTTGTCTTTCCCCACCATTTTCTACTTCGTCCGGACCTGCCTCAAGTTCAGACTCTTGGGGTGCATTAGTCGTCTGAGGGGCTTTACCTGTCTTGTGTTTCCTAATATAGGTCTGAATAGGCTGGTTTGTGTCTCCCCCTGGACGAGTGATCCCTCTATCTTCTTTAGGCAGCTCTTCTAGAGTAGTAAGGGATGGTTCAGGTTCGGGTTCGGGTATAGGTTGGGATGGTCCGAATATAGGTTCTAGGTAGGATGATAAGGGTTCAAGTGTAGGTTCTAGGTAAGATGATGAGGGTGGTTGTTCAGTCTGAGGTTCACTCCAACTCTCCCCTGAATCGAGGACTGAGGGTAGAAGGGAATAGTCTCATGAAAGGTGACATCACAAGTGACATGAATACGTTGTGTAATTGGATCATAACATTTGTATCCTTTCTGTGTGCCCGAATATCCCAAGAAGATACACTTAACAGCTTTTGGATCAAGTTTATGGGTATGATGAAGATGAACATAGGTGGTACAACTGAACACTTTCAAGGGTAATGTGTTTTCGAGGTAGGGAAGGTTATAATGATTGTGGAGAACCTGTAGGGGGGTTTTGAAAGACAATGGTTTGCTAGGCATTCTGTTGATTAGAAAGGTAGCTGTAAGAATGGCATCGTCCCAATGGAACTTTGGCACATTACTGCTAAACATGATGGCTCTAGCGGTTTCTAGGATGTGTCTGTTTTTTCTTTCGGCAATACTATTTTGTTGTGGGCTGTAAGGACAAGTACTTTTGTGTATGATGCCATGACCTTTGAGGAAGGTGGACAGGGAATTGTTGAAGTATTCAGTCCCATTATCAGTGTGAAGGATTTGGATTTTTGTTTGAAATTGGGTCTGAATCATTTGGTAGAAGTCAAGGAAAGTTTGATAAACATCAGTCTTTTGTTTTAGAAGAAATACCCAACTCACCCGTGTGTGGTCATCAATGAAGCTTATAAACCATTTTGAATGTGTACGATTGGGAACCCGAGAAGGCCCCCACAAATCACTATGAATAGTCGTGAATGGTTTGGAAGCGTGATACGGAATGCTTGAAAAAGAAGTACGATGATGCTTAGCACGTTCACAAGAATCACAGTGAAAATCAATAAAATTTTTATTTGAGCAAAGTGAAGGAAACATTTGAGTCATATAATGAAGGTTGGGGTGTCCTAATCTTTGGTGCCATAACTCCAACTCACTAGTCCTAGGGAGAGACACTTTATTACAAGCTTTAAAACTTCGATCATCACAGTCATCCAGGTAGTAAAGCCCATCAAACTCCTTAGCAATGCCAATCGTCGTCCCCGTTAGCAGATCCTGAAAAACACAATAAGTAGCAAAGAAGTCAGCATGGCACCGTTCATCCCTGGCCAATTGGCTCACAGACAATAGATTACACTTTAAATTGGGAACATGGAGCACTGTGTGGAGTGTAAGTGTAGAGGAGACTGTAACACTCCCAATGCCAGCAACAAGAGCATCAGAAGCATCAACAATTTTAACCGTAAGTCGAGTTTTAGCGGAAGTATAGGTAGAGAATAATGAAATGTCATCAGTCATATGATCAGAGGCGCCTGAATCAACAATCCAAAAATGTCCAGAACTCATACCTTTAATAGTAGCCAATGCTTTGAAAAAGTTACCTCTTTGAACTACAGTGGCGGTAGGTTGTTTTCGGGTCTGTTGGTTATTTTCCAATGCAGCAAGCCTCTCCAAAATTTTACTTAGCGCGTCATCCTGAGCTGTTTTTATGGGAGAATCTGCTTCCTCCACTTTTCCAGCAACATACCCACGGCCTTTTCCTCTCTTGGGTTTCCAGTCCGGTGGTTTCCCATGGAGGTCCCAGCAAGTGTCTTTAGTATGCCCTGTTTTCTGGCAGTGGTCGCATGTGGGCCTATTCTTATTCCCTCGGTGCTCATTAGATCGTACTGCAAGGGCAGAGGCTTCAGCTGAGGGGCCTCGTGGCATTGGGTCGTCTTTGAGCATAACCTTCTTTCGGGAGTCTTCATTACGGAGTATCGCAAAGGCTGCCCGAACAGAAGGAAGAGGAGTTTGACTAAGGATTCATCCCCGAACATCATCAAAGGAGGGATTCAGACCTGCTAATAACTCAAATAGGCGTTCCCTCTCGGTTTTCTTATGATTGGTGGCAGCATTAGAGGCGCAGCACTCAAATGCATCAGTGATGAGGTCCAGCTCCGGCCAGAGAGCTGTTTTCTCCAGATAATAGTCGGCTAGCGTACGAGTTCCCTGTTTGAGGTCCCACACTTTCCGTTTTAATTCGAAGATTTGCGACTCATTTCCTCCGTCGCCATAGGCCTCCCTCACAGCCTCCCATATATCGCGAGCGGAGGGAAGGAACATGAAGACCTTTTTGATCGCTGGTATCATGGCATTGACGAGCCAGGAGGATACCATTGCGTTGTTGGATTTCTAGGTTCGCAGCGCCTTCTCATCAGTCGCCGAAGGAGCTGGGATTTTGCCGGTGATGTACCCCAGTCGACTTCGACCATCAAGGGCCAGTCGCATCGACTGGGCCCATTCGCAGTAGTTGTCACCGGTAAGTTTATCCGGCACAATCTGAACAGCCGAGCTCTCAAGTCCAGCGAGGCGTGTTGTACCAGGTGCGGAGAAGCCTCCAGGTACCGAGGTCTGGTGCGACTCAAGTTGGGAGTTCGACTCCCTATCATTGTCGGAAGATTCTGCCATTGCTGCCGCCGAATGCTCTGATACCATGTACAGCGACAGAGAATGAGAGATGAATGGTATAATTCTTCCATGCTTTCATTGAGTAATTCGGTAAACATATATACAGGAGAATGACTAAATCGAATCCGAGATACACGGGATTACAGAGAAGAGATAAAATCGAATAAAATCAGATAGCAAACATATATCCTAATATCTACAATTAATTCTCATGATTCCTATAAATCAGCAACCGTTATCTACAAATTTCATCCCCTGCCCGGGGGGGGATTTTGGTACATTCACCTTTAACTTGTTTACTGTGGGAAGCATGAGCGACATTTAAACTTCAGCAACAAAATACTAAGAAGCAGAAACAAAAGGGGAATAATGAAAAACAATACTGAAATTTTATTCTGAAATTTGATATGAAAGAGCAACATTCTTACAGATGGCCTCAGATCAACAAGAGCCAAGTGATTATCAGTTCCACCAGATACCAACTTGTAGCCATGTTCTATCAAACGATTAGCTAGAGCTCTACAGTTAGAGACCACCTACAGGATCAAAGTTATATGAGTGCAACTGTCACAATAGGCCTAGGAACAAACTTACAAATGGTTAAAAGAGAAATACCTGGTTTTGGTAAACCTTAAACTCAAGGGATTGAGCATACTTCAAACAAACTGCTAGTCCTCCAATTGTGTGGTTATGAGGACCGCCCTAAATAATGACAATTTTAGTACTAAACTATTACGGCAGGGACAATATTCCCAATTAGAATAGTAAAGAAAGGCCTAAACAGAACCAATATCTTACTTGTAAGCCGGGAAATACAGCATTGTTGATGGCAGACTCTAGATCGACACCATGCACAGAATCTTTCTTGAAGAATATCATACCACCTCTTGGACCTCTCAGGGACTGGAGAAATAAATTTAATTGTAATGAGTCATGGGCATGCGAACACAAAGAAAGAGGAGTATTTAGTTAAGATTAAATGTATGTTTTTTGTTAGAAGAATGAAAGCAAATTCAGTTCCCTTATCTTTTTGAATAAAAAAATTAAAGCACGATATTGGGAATATCCTGAGGAAAACCTTGTGAGTTGTGGTTGTCACAATATCACAAAATTCAAAGGGATCAGCAAGCACGCCAGCAGCAACAAGTCCACTAATATGAGCCATATCCATCATAAGAAAAGCACCAACTTCATCGGCAATCTTCACATGGATATCACATGTAATTAGCTTTTTAAACAAAAATCACATATCACATGAAGGGATATTCAATCACAAACAGAATATTCTACAGAATACATATGAACAAGGTTACTTTTCTCATCCGTGGATAGTCAATGTCTCGAGGATAAGCACTTGCACCAGCAATGATGAGTTTGGGTCTGAAGAGATTAGCAGTTTTCTCAAGCATGTCACAATCAATGAGGCCTGTTCACAATTCAAAAGTACTTAAGCTTCTTGTAAGCTATTAAACATAGTTGCCATAATTTAATAACAAAAATGCAAGCACCTGTAGTTTCATCAAGTCTATAAGGCATAGATTCAAAATAAATTGATGTTCCTGATACACGTCTTTTGGGAGTCATGAATCCATGAGATAAATGCCCCCCATGAGGTAAGTCCAAACCCTAGAAGAATTATCATTTTATATCAGTATAGCCTTACAACAGAAACGCTATTTTGGCATAGAAAAAATCACAAAAGAGGAAATTGTTTACCATTATCCGATCGTGTGGCTTAAGAATTGCAGTGTAAACTTCAAAATTTGCAGGAGAGCCAGATAAGGGTTGAACATTTACACCCCACTTATTCCCATCCAAGTGAAATGCAGCCAATGCTCTCTCTTGACATAGTATTTCAAGCTCATCAATGTACTCATTTCCACCATAGTACCTTACATGCATAAGAGACTCTAATTAATATAACTAGAGAAGTGAGAAAGGGAGGGGGCGTTTAGTGAAACATTCCTTCACACAAAGGAAAAAATTTAGAGGAAGAAAACTCACCTTTTTCCAGGTAAACCTTCTGAGTACTTGTTTGTGAGGCATGAACCAACGGCTTCCATAACTGCCCTCGATGTAAAATTTTCTGAAGCAATAAGCTCAAGGCTTTTATACTGCCGATTCTTTTCCTTGCCAATAATATCATAAACCTCAGGATCAGCTTCACTCAAGCCATAATCCAGGAAACTACTTCTATCACCTGAAAATATCATGTGATCCGATGGACCAAAACGTCAGTCTTTAGGCCAAGAATCAACAAACCAAATACCTCGAACACTAAACCAGGGAAAAGAATAAACTAATTATGGCATCAAAGTGTGTAAGCTTTGGGTATTTATTTTGTCTTTAAAAGTATATACTAGCTAGTCAGTCACATGAAATCATTCCATTTAAATGGTATGCTCAGTACTTACCTCCAATTTCAGGCACCGAGAGTGTAGACGGCCTCCCACCGACCAAACTTCCTTCAACATAAGATGCTTTACAAGTCTTCACGTTACTGAACTTTACTTGAGGCGTAAACCCATAACTGTCACACCCATGAGCAGGAAAATTAAGCACCTTAGCACATGCAGATTGTTGCCATGAGCCCATTATTGCAAATTTTCCACAGACTTGCATCCTCGATTATGATTTTATAATAAAAACCCCTGCATGGTTCATAATACATTATATGATAATGGCGAACTACAGCTCGTCATAATTGCAAAAGCTTCACCTCGAGCAAAAAATTCAACAATACTCAAAGGAAAAGAAACTGAATCATAAGAATAGTTTAACTTGATGCACATCTTTCGCCAACCAATTATTAACATATATTCTACCTGAAGATGATGCAATCAATGATCTCAGGCAGGGACGGTGACGCAGAGTCACTGACGACGAGCACGAAAGAGAACGAAAGACCAAATACACGAGCAGCAAGAACCCGTCGGAAAACAAAAGATGAGATACCCCCGGGGAGGAGGGGGGTCGCCGAGCTGGGAAGCGGAGTGAAGACTGAAGACTGAAGACTGAGGAGGGTTCTGTGGTTTTTGTTTTTTGTCTGCGTGAGGGCACGTGTCGTTTTATAGTTTAGTTTTGTCCGAACGAATCTACAGGTGTACGGTGACCTCCGGCGTATTTTACTGCTCCCCCGCCACAGTAAATTATGTGATTTTAGAAAATAGTTAAAATTAATTAAAAATAATTAATATGTGATAAATACAATTTTTTAAATATATTTCTATATATAAATTGATAAATGTGAAAAATTAATAGTGAGATAAATAAAAAATATATATTAAATATATTAAATTAGAAACAAAATAGGTAATAATTCATTAAATGTTGAGACAAATTCAAAGAGTATCTTATAAAAAAGAACAGATCTATTCAAAAAATTAGATTTTATAATAAAAGACGGAGGGAGTATATTTTTATTAATGTTTTTCTAATGAATCTGTTAATATCATTTTATTTTTAATCTTTAATACTTATTAAAATATTTTTAAAAAATATTATTAATTACTTCCAAAAAAAAAAGCCGATGTTCACCACACATGGTCAACATAATCCCTTGAAGCAATAAATATTATAAAATAATTTTATATAATATTTATTGTATTCATATTATGAACATTATTATTTAATTATATCTTTTATTCAATTATAATTTAATTTCTAAACTTTAACTCAATACATGTTATTGTTCTAGTCATTTAAAAGTTTAAACATTAGTAAGACCTAACTTTAGTTATTATATTTTAAATTTTTTTAAAATATAGACTAACATTTTCAGAATTGGATTCATGAATTGATTGAGTTCTAACTAAATTAAAATTACAAGATTAAATATTCATTTTATCTTATAATTATTAGAACTTTTAGCAAGATTCATGCTCATCAACAGAATAAACAAAATATATGTATAATAAACATGCAAGGATCAAATTTCTTAGAAAAGAGTATTATTCAGAAATCCAAAACCAACATGTAAGTCATGTTTTCATCATCATATACACTACCTCCGATTCTAATTATAAAAGTTAATTGGCTAATTTGAGGAGATTACAATAATAAATTATGTTAGTTATTTATAATAAATAGGTATTATTCTTCTTAAAATATCTTTGATAATCAAGGGTTTTGACTAGAACTACTATTATTAGAATGATTACCTTACAAAAAATACATAAATATAAAAGATAAAGTGGATAGATATTTTATATTTAGGATCAAAATAAAAATTAAATAAAGTTTTGTATAAAGGACCGGAAGTAGTAATAAAGTTGATTTCATTCACACTAACTTTTTAAATAACTAATCAATAGTGGATCAAGCACGCTGCTCTTGACTTGTGTTTAGCTCCAACCTTTACCTAAAATTTTTTAAATTAAAAAAAAAACTCAATCGTACAATGTCATAAATCTCTTTAATTAATTAAGTTGACATTTCATAATACGCAAATGTTATTCTTTTAAGATAAACGAGTATACATACTTTATATATTGATGAACAACGACCATGTGCTTGCTAATTAATAGCCCAAGTTTGAATTCTTAATTATGCCAGATTAACTAGTTTATTCAGTTTTTCTATATTTTACATAGAATTGGACTAAGTCAAAATTAATATTGTGTGTGTGTGTGTGTGTCATTACGGATTTGACTTTTTATGAATGAAGAGAAAATGGAATGATGATTATCAAGCAAGAATTGCTACAGCTGGCTTGAGGGTTGAAATAAAATTTCAATGCTATTACGATTTACGGATTAATTAATTAATTTTAACAAATAACGGTCATATAGTCAATAGAATGCAAGTGTTTTTTTTTATCAAAATCAAAACTTAGTTATAAAAATAGAATATTGAAGATGTGATTAAAGAGATTCCGAGTTCCAATTAGAAAAAAAAAATATAAGAATCCATCTCCAATGTAACGCAATGAATAACGCCAAAGTGGAGGTGCTTAATTATTCACAATCTTCCCCTTTTTTATTTTTTAATAAAAAGTAAGGAGTACAGCTTGATATTTTTTTGTTGAAAAAAACCTCGACTTAGATATATTTAATACATATAAGATTTTTTTTTGTTTTGGTTAGAGATCGTTTTTAATTTTAACTCAAGCAAAATTAATTTATTTTGTAATGACCACTTAACAAATAACTCCTTGAATTTTTTGGGGAAAAAAATATTAAAAGTACAGACAAAGCCAACTGGCAGATTGTGTACCAAAAAAAAAAAGCCAACTGGTGGTTGTTGACAGCCAGATGATTATAAAAAAGATTGTTGAGTAATATTATTATTCTACTACAAAGTAAACCTTCTCTCTTCTAACAATATATATAATAAAATATATTTTATCGAAAGAACATATAATAAAATATAAAATATGTGATACTTTAATATAAAATTTTATTGATAATTTCTTGCTTGTTTCCTTTAGTTAGACTGGAGGATATTACATTTGATTAAATGACCAATATATCAATATAAAATTTCAAAAGTACAAGGAACATTGCTGTGCACATGCCATAAACAGTACAACTTATTATTTTTGAGACACTACAAGGAAAATCCAACATATTCTACTAAGACAAGCGTGCATGATAAATTCTTACAGAGTTTAAGAGTATTTAGAAACTAGGGTCTAAAACAAACTCAGTCTTTACTCACATATATTCTTCTTGCAGAGTTTCACATTAATTTCATTCTTCTTGTGTATGAGGTAAACTACTACCTAGCCAAGGGAGAGAATTCTGCACTTGTCATATTCAGGGAAACTAATTCAACTGAATCTCCTGTACTAGCATCATTGTGCTTGGTTCTAGCTCCTTCTGTTGCCAAACACTCCTTTAGCTCATTCACTAACTCATTCATGGTTGGCCTGTTGTTAGGGCTTCTAGACACACAAGTCATGGCCATTTCCACAGCTCTCCAAGCAGAGTTACTATCAAACTCCCCTCTTAACCTTGAGTCAACAATAGCCTTTATGTCCCCTTTAGCAACCATGGAGCTAACCCATTGACTTATGTGAGTTCTCTCATGGTTTCCAGATATTACTGGTAGACCTGTGACTATCTCAAAAAGAACTACTCCAAAACTATAAACATCACTTTTCTCTGTCAATCTGTTTGTTATATAGTACCTAGTAGATAAAGAAGACAAAATAACTAAGATTGTGTTAGTTTTCACATCGGAAGCTCTCAAAATAACTACGAATAACATTTTTTAACAAAAGCAGAAGCGGCTAAGAAAGATAATGATTGATTGATTGATTAAAAGGACTCACTCAGGGTCTAGATAACCAGGAGTACCAGCAACAACGGTTGACACATGAGTTCCACCATCAGTTGGGATAATTTTAGATAGACCAAAGTCCGCTATTTTTGCTCTGGAGTTTTCATTCAGCAAGATGTTTGACGATTTTACATCTCGATGAATTATAGGTGGCTTACATCCATTATGCAAATACTCCAATCCTAAACCAAAGTTGATGTCAAATAACATTGAAGTGGAAAGATTTAAACAGTGAAAAGTGAAGACACAAGGAGCTTGGTTCATTTTCTGACCTAATGCTGCATCCAGTGCCATACAGAGTCTGTCTCGCCAAGTCAGGAACCTTGATTTGTTGTCTTTTCCTGCAGAATCAAACTCTGTAACTTTCTATACTTGCTGTTATTATTATTATCTTTTTTTGGCCCCATTTCTAGACCATTATTAGTTAATTGAAAATTGATTGGCACCAACAAACCTGAAAGGTACTCTTGTAGGTTACCATTAGCCATGTACTCATATATGAGCCCCTTATTGGTTTCTTCGTTGCAATACCCAACAAGGGAAGTCAGATTTCTGTGATGAACTCTCATTAAAAGTTTAACCTGAAAATCAATATCATACTTATGCTTAACCATAATAGATACTTATTAATTCAAAACTCGTGATTTTAGTACACTATTAATTTTTACCTCTGCTTGGAATTGCTGATAACCTTGAACTGAAGATAGAGAGAGCATTTTAACTGCAACAGGAGTTTCAGCAATGTGGCCCAAATAAACTGTTCCAAACCCACCTTTTCCGAGAATTGTGCTGAAGTTGTTGGTCATTTTGAGGACATCATGGTATGAATATTGTCTATTTGTGACTTGCAGAGTGGTATCATTTTGTTCTTCAACTTTTTCAACTTGCTGTGAGGTCTCAATTGGACTTGTTCCTAATTTGAGATCATGAAAAAGGTTTTGGTTGATTCTTTCACAATATCAACCAAAATTTTGTGCTTGTGCGTGTGAATGATAAAGAGCAGGCTCACCTCTTGGCTTTCTCCTTTTAAGGGTAAAAAATATAGTTGCTGTGACTACCACAAGGAGCAGAACTCCAGCAACTGATACAACTACGGGAATAATAATATTGTTCTTTTTCTTCTTGTCGCATGGAGGAGATTCACATAGATGTGGATTTTCTCCAACACTAGCATATGGAAAGACACATAAGTTATTATGTTCATTGGTCAATAAATCTTGCAAGTACTCTATAGGTCTATCTGGGTATAGAGGTTAAGAAATATGAATATTTATATGTCGTGTGTCCTAAATTCATGTAACAATAACTTTTAGGATATTAGGATTTTTACAAGAGCCATACCTTAGTGACAGGGAACCCTTGTTTGATTTTTCAACCAGATCAGTGGGAACCGTGCCTGTGAAGTTGTTGTTCTGAATGTTTCTGCAAAATTAATCCAGCTATAATATCCTTCTTTGAACCTATGGGATCTGAGTATTGTTCATTCAATTACAAATAACTTACAAGATCTTCAAGTTTTGTAGCCGAGACAGAAAATCTGGAACTGGTCCACTTAAGCTATTATTTGATAAATCCCTGAAAAAAGAAATTTTCTCCCACTTGGAATGAGTTTGCCTTATTGACAACCTAAGGAAATCAGTGAAAACATTCTAAATTAGGC